TATATATATATATATATATATATATAGCTATAGATATATAATCTAATCAATACTACGCGGAGGTTATTCTTCTTTGTGGGGCTAGATCGTCTTCTGGCATGTGTAACATTTTCGGTTACATGAGTTCTATTTTCCATGTGTAATGTTTTGAAGAAGTTTTTAGCTTCTATGTGTAAAAAAAACTTGGTCTCTATTTTGGTTGGATTTATTATATTTATTCGTGTTTACTTGATTGACAGTGATGAAAACTTCAAGTATCAATCTTTTCCGCCGAAGAACAATGTGAACATTACAAGTGAAGATGTAAGTGAGAGGACATTAATTGCACGTCTTGAAGAAGAGAACGGTGGAATGTTACGTGAGATGGAAATGCTAAAGCAACAACAGGTTACTGTAGTTTCATAAATTGATAGTTTACAATCCATAATCCGAAGTTTATCTTTCCATTTTGGGTTTTCCTTGAAATCAGTCATTTGTTGCGCATCCACTACTTGAAGTCCCTTCTTAATACTCACTATACTGATAAACTTTTATAAGTTGTCATATTCACATGTGGCATCAGTATGGAATCTTACAATATGAAGTGAATTCTCAATTTTATGATTCAAGTGATAAATTTAAATCCGCTATAATGTATAACAAATGTGCTTTTTTTTTTCTCTGAATCATTCATAGTTTTCAAAACTGTATTTCATTTTTACAGCAGAAATGAGAAGAATTGAAAATGCATTATGCATATATATTTGAGAAAAATCGTAAATTTATAATATATCAGAATATTCCAAGCGGAATAAATCACTTTATTTTCTGCAAATGAATACAAAACCATTATCTATTTCTATTTGTCGACTAATTAAAAAAAATGCAAAAAGCTGAAATAAAATGATGTAAAGCATTTACATCGCTGAGTCATCAACAAATACTGTAGTAAAATAAATAGTGAGGTATTAATGGTCTCTAAAAGTTCTAAAGAAACGAAAATTTATATTTTTTAAGAAAACTCAAAATGTTAGGACATTAACTTCTCTTGATATTCAGAAAGACAGAATTAAACTCACTATCAGCGATGAGTACAAAGAGATGAGTTACTCTATATCTTTTTAGATGTGATCGAGGGATTTAATCGACATTTTTGAATGAAGAAACCAAACGATCATAGATAAGAATTATGAGAGATGAGTAAATTCGTTTCTTCACTTTATTTTGGATCACTCGAAAGTCTTCTCGATAATACGTTGTTGGTAGCAATAAACTGACTAAACACAGCAAAAAAAGTCTTTGGCAAATGATTAGTTTCTAGCATTAATTTTACTACAAACTGTATGAAAAAAAATGACCGAAAACAAAGTTTTTAGATTACGAATAGATTCTTTGTACTCTTCTGGAGATGATTGAAAACTTTTGTGTACTGTAGAATATTCACTATTTAGAATTAATTCTTAAAAGAAATTGGTTTATAAAATTTTTGTCTTCTCAAATTTCAGTAACTTTTGCTTCAGCTCTGCCTGAAAATAGTTTTTAATGTGTATTTTTGACAAATCGGTCTGTTTACTTATTTTTTTTGTATAACTTTTCCATGAATATTGGAATAATATCATTGTTATCAGTAATTTTTACCATTTTTCACATCTCTTCAGAAGCATTTACGATGAACAATTGATGGCCCAGATTCATCGTATTCCTTAAAAAAGAATGTATACTAATCAATCGTATACAGTTTTTTCGAATTTGACTCATTTGTCACAAGTGTTTGCAGTACAAAATATTTCTCTACTTTTTCATCCATTGTCGAATTGATAGAATTCAACAAGTTAGTAAGAATAAAGTAGATACCTGTTTGGAAATCCACATTTGTTGGAAAGTTGAGAGAGAAGCCAAAATGGAGCCACCAATCCAAACAGAATATTTACGCTCGGGTGGGGCAATAATTTTGATTTTCATCGTGCTAAAAATTTTAGACTTTTTAATCACTGAATTTTGCTAAATTTTTCGAATTTAGGCATAGTTACTCACTGGTGCTATTTTTTGATAACAGAAGTTTGAAATTAATCATAAAGCCATCTTTTCTATTTTGAACTGTTTTGTTTAAAATACTTAAATTTATAGTATGACCTTGGTGCCAAAGCAGTAATTTCTTTTTGCATTCGATCAGCAATTCCAGGATACATAGTGCTACCACCAGATAAAACGGTATTTGCATAAAGATCTTTACGAATATCAATGTCGCACTTCATAATGCTATTATATGATGTTTCGTGAATTCCAGCACTTTCCATTCCAAGAAATGATGGCTTAAAATGGAAATAAAATTTCGAAGGAGATTTGAGAATTTCATTTTGTTTTACTTTAGAAATTAGCAAATCAACCTTGCTGTTAATGACTGTGATTCAACACTGTCATGTAGGATGTTAAAAGACGTTTATAAATATAATGTAAAAGGAAAGTCCGAAACCTTTAGCCAAAAATTAGAAACTCAAGGAGTTTCAATTATTTGCTTCCTGGACAACTTAATCAAACCTGAAAGAGTGATTCCGGACAACGAAATCGTTCGTTACCGACAGTGATTACTTGGCCATCTGGTAACTCATACGACTTTTCTAAGGACGATGAACTTGCAGCAGTTGCCATTTCTTGTTCAAAATCCAAGGCAACATAACAAAGTTTTTCCTTGATATCGCGAACAATTTCTCTTTCAGCAGTTGTAGTGAAGGAGTAACCACGTTCGGTAAGAATCTTCATCAGATAATCAGTCAAATCACGTCCAGCTAAATCCAAACGTAGGATAGCATGCGGCAAAGCGTAACCTTCGTATATTGGCACGGTATGCGTTACGCCATCACCCGAATCCAATACCAGACCTGCAAAGCACGCAAAAATTTTTTCACTAGTCAGTGAATTCTGTCTAGAAGTAAAAATAAACCGTCACATTGTCAGCAAAAATTGTAGTACCCAAATTTCATTACAATTTGTAATAATGACAATAATTCAGATAATTTAAAGAATTTTAGGAGCCACAAATAAGAACAGCGTTTTCTCTATGTGTTGTCACAGCATCACCACCACCATATAAATGTTTTTTTCAATTATTTGCATCACTATTCGCGTTACTTTTATTGATCAGATTGTTGGATATTATCGAGATTTGAGAATATCAAATGTAATTCGCGCAAACAAAAAAATGTACCAGTAGTGCGGCCAGAAGCGTAAAGGGACAGCACGGCTTGGATGGCGACATACATAGCAGGTGAATTAAAAGTTTCGAACATGATTTGGGTCATCTTTTCCCGATTAGCTTTGGGGTTAAGTGGGGCCTCTGTAAGCAGCACTGGATGCTCCTCGGGAGCCACGCGGAGCTCGTTGTAGAATGTGTGGTGCCAGATCTTCTCCATGTCATCCCAGTTGGTTACAATGCCGTGTTCTATCGGATATTTCAGCGTGAGAATACCTTAATTTTATAATTTAATGAAAATAATTTTGTTATTGTTATTTATTATTATTTTTATTCATTGATTTATTATTATTATTATTATTATTATTATTATTATTATTATTATCATTAATGTTATTATTATTATTATTATTATTACTATTATTATTATTATTATTATTTATTAATTACATTATTACTATTACTAATTATTTGTGAACCAATTTTAACTCGATGTATCCATTACACACTAAATAATACAGTGGTGTTTTATTATGCGATCAATTTTTGTGCATTTACAGTAATGATATGCCATAAATCAATTTTATTTATGTAACTAACTGAAAACAAATTATCTTTGAAAGACCTGTAAAATTTTTTGCAAGCAGATTAATCAGATTACAATAGTGAGCCATAAGGAATTACAAGTTATTTCTTTAGTGGTATCATAAAATATATAATGTGAACTAATTCTGTGTTGAAGGGAGAAAAAGCATTAATATATGCATCACCTCGTTTGGACTGCGCTTCATCACCAACGTATGAATCTTTCTGTCCCATGCCGACCATCACACCTTGATGACGCGGTCGGCCAACAATCGACGGGAATACTGCTCGTGGAGCATCGTCACCAGCAAATCCCGCCTGAAATTAGAATTGTGATAAAGCACTGATTAGCTGAATTGTAAATTTTCAATTACATGCCGAATATGAAGAGCATTTCGATTGTATTTGCATAGTGAACAAAAGATATTTGTGCATTAATCAAATGATCATTCAAATCATGTAAATTAGGAGTTAAATAAAACTGCGAATTTATTTTGCAAAAATGAAAATGATTATCATGAATTTCTATCGAAGGCTTTTTAGAGTGGTTTATTTCATCTTTTATAAAGTAATAACTCAGATAACATTTGCAAAAATCCTTCAACTCTTCATTTTTGTAATATTATCGTAGACCTAAAGCAGTCCTTGAAAGATATAATTATTGTTTACAGTGATGATTCATATATTTATTAGCGTATTTTCATGAAATTTTACCTAAATTACAAAAAGTTAATGCACAGTTAATCTGCAATAAATACAACAAATTCATATATTTATTGGCAAATCATGACCCATCATTTAAAGTATATAAAGCGAGAGTTTGCTCTTAATTAAGTCACAATGATCATTTTGGAAATCTTCACGTGTTTTGGTAAATAAGCAGATTGTTTTCACATTTGTATTTCTCAAGAATATATCATTTACATCTTATCTTTACATTATTTTTGTCTTAAATTTCAAATTGTTTACTTTTGTGTTAGAGACAGTTGGAATTGTTGAAAACTTTGCTATCATTCAAACTTATCTGCTGCTCTGATGATTTGTCTTTGTTTAATAACAATTGCTGCTGGCGATGTTATCAGCGTTACAAGTTATATTATTAAATACTGAGAAAAGCCAACGTTTGACTTAATTCCTTCACATTTTACGCTAATTTTAAGCCTTTCGCCCGATTACTCTTCTTGACAGCTCCTCCATCAGCTGAGCTGCTTACATATTTCAGAATAATTCGAAGCAGCATTCTCAAGAAATTACACAAATTTCATCAATCTTTTATTATCATATTTAACTCAAACTACGTATAATGTCTATTTCTCAGCAAAAAAATATCAGAAATAACAGTTACTTGAATTTAAGATTTCATGATCATGAACAAGATATTTGATTTTATTTTAGTTGCTTTGGTTTCAAAGATATTTTTGATAAATCGAGACTATAGTCTGATCATCTTTATTATTGAAGCAAAAAGTAGAGTAAAAGATGAACTCATCGACAAGACAGTTAATAGTAAATGAAATGTTTTGCAAAAACAAGCATAAAATGCTCAAACTTGTGAAGTTGAAAAATGTTCACTAAAAATATCTTTTCAGATTCGATACTACTTTAGTGATTCAAAAGTGTGAAAGTCTGAAACTATGTTTTAAAAAGTTATTCTGAGTCCTTTTCTATAAAATTAAGATTTCAGGGTTACCACAGCCACAACAGACATCCAGCATCATAGATTGAATTTAAAAAATTTATTGTTCATTCATTAATTTGTTAACTATGAACATTTATTTCTATGTTCTTTGATGCAGTAATGTTACTTCTCAAGAAAAAACTGAAATCATTTATATTTTCACAACTTTTAAAAAACAAATTTTAAATAAATTCGTCCTCGTAGAACTCATATGATTAATTAACAAAAGTGGGATGGATATTGCGAAAATGGTAATGAAGTTACTATCTGCTATTCCAGTCACTTTCTAGCTAGTATGAAAAGGCAAACATAATACCTTGCACATTCCCGAACCATTGTCTATTACGAGTGCCGATACTTCATCGTCACACATTTTTAAGGGCTCTTTTTGTTCAGATCAATACGAACTTCTGAAAGCTAATTAATATACCGAATACTCTATAACTGCGCACTACGTTCCTTCAACAAATTACTTGCGCAATGCTAAAATCCATAAGGGTAATCTTTTTAAGGATTCTACCAGTAATAAACTTCTTACTTAATGAATGTTTTATAAAAAGGCAAAATTTTTGCTTAAATTCACAACCCAATGACTGAAGACAAGTGCAAAAGCGAAAACTTGAAGAATCATAAATATGTGCACAATATGAAGCAATAAAATGCAGAAGTTGAAGAAAGCATTCGTTCCACACCTGAACATGCTTACATTACTCGAAAGCCCACAAATTGCTTCTACTTAAGTGTAAAGCAGAAAGCTAACTTTTGCACAGCTTTTGAATGCTTATGATAAGAGTTGTATCTGCGCCACTCTTTCCTCCTCAACTTCTGTTAACTTTCTGCTATTAACTTTGACACTATTAGTAGTTAGAATGATCACTTAGCAATGTAAGTGTGAGGAAAGAAAAGAAAAGACAACATAAGCAACACAAGTAGTAATAAGACTGCTGACAGCATCAGTAGCATCAATTCCCAGAATCTCAACATCAAATTAACTGGAAATGATAGTATAAATAGATCTTTTAGAAAATCGCTATTGCTGTTGTCGTGATTAACTTCGTTTAATAATTGCAGTTATAATTATAATTATGACAATAATTATTATTATAAAAATAGAACAGTAATTATTATTAACTGCAAATAAATTTGAAAGTTTTGATAAAAAAGAACGAAAAACACCTTTTTATTTTTACAAGTAAGAAACCTTTTTCTAGGAAAACCTTTATCTTACTTGTAAAAAATAATTTTGTAAATATGGGCACAATAAATTATGTAAAGTTCCACCCTAGAGAAACATTAAAATTTTCATAAATGAGAGCTGTATGGGAATTTGACTCATTCTTTTCATTTTCATTTTTAAAATTATATTTAATGGTTTTGAGGTACTACCACACTAAAAATAATCACAGGTTCGAAAGTTTCGATTTTGAATTTGAAACATGAGCGAAAATTGCATTAAAGAGCTATAAAAATGACAAAACCATTACTATTACCAAGTGAATTTGAAAAACGACATGTTCACTTCAGGTTCAACTTAAATCTAATGATGTCAATCAGTATTAATAGTTGCTGACCTATGATTACTTCATGTTTTGAAGTAATGGAATTTCGAATATTACGGGAAATCGAAATTCAAACGCTGATTTGACTTGACTTAAATCATGAAGTGCCAATTTTTCCAGAATAGCATTTTGATGCAAAATGATGATTCATATCAAACTTGTATTTGCATAAAAAAGTTTTCAGTTTAAAACATTCAGACTAAGATAATTCGTTACCTCAAAAATATTCTTATTTCAATGGTGTTTGCTACGGTTTGCAGTCTTAAAAGCATGCAATAATTTAAGTTGCTATGAAAATTTTTCATAGTTTTATGCAAAAAAATGTATTTGAAGAGATAAATTATGTAGCATTTAATATATCCATTAACTGCATTCGTTTTATGCATTAATTTCGTCTACAAATTTATCTGTTAATTGCATTCATTTAAGATGAGGTGGGAAAGTTTTTCAATCCAGAAAATTTTATCCTTTAAAATCAACCATTTTGCGAGTTATACTTCATTTAATCATGCAAAGTTCGTTATATTTCTGAATATCAACCACTCTTATCATTTTCAGTTGATAAAATTTATTATTTCAAACATATTGTGTGCCATGTTTCTTGCATTTACTCTCACCAGATCGATAGTCATAAGATTAAACCCATCTTCTAATTGTATATTGTTTTTTTAACAAATTTCTGAACTTAAAATATGTGATAATTGAATGTTCAGAAACTGGTCGGTTAAGAGCAAGAATGATTGCAGAAAACTGAGATTTTCAAGCAAAAAATCTGACATCAATTTTGAAAAGCGTTTTCTGAAGTAAAGTCCATGAATAGCAATGCACAGAGGTTTAAATTCAAACTGACTTCAGTAGTACAATTTTGAGATTGATTTAATATGGAATGTCCTGAGAAGTACTAAATAAACATCTAGTTACAAAATTCATTGAAATATGTGATAAGAAACAAGGAGAGATCAATAAAAAGTACTATAAAATCAGTGAAGGTGATCAAAGCTCCTTTAATTTATTGTCATGAAAAAATTAACGACTAAAATGATTGCATACTTTATAGCAAATTTGTCTCCGATCTATACGAACACCCAATTGTAGTTTTATATAATAAAATAATTTTAAAGATAAATAAGTGTAACATAAGGATAACTTAGAAACTGCGCCAATTTTGCTATAAAAATTTTTGCGAGTTAGGTGAATAGCTTTGAAAGTAACTTTAATAATATGGTGAGCAAATAGGTTCAAATCATAAATAAATCGAGGATCTTGATTAAACATTTTTTAATATTTAGGCACAATCAGAGATGAAACAGCTTTATTTCTGGGTTTTGTTTTATTTGATTTTTGTAACTATACAAAAAAGTGTTATACGAATCGGTCATTTGCTACCAGCGAATCCAATCATTGCTTATGAAACTGATATTCTCAAACTCTGTGCAAAAGATCTCCGAGAGCGAAAAATTTTGCCGGCAAATATAACCCTTGAGTAAGCAAAGCTTCAATATTTGTACAAGAACATATTAACAAAAGCGTAATGATTGTAAATGAGACTTAAAAGAGCAAAAATTTGTGAAAGATGGTTGAATATTTAAATAAATTTTATAAATTTTGTTTATAATCCTTAATTTTGGTTATTATTTAAAAGATTCTCCTTGAATTAAGAAAGTTGCTGTTTGTGAAAATTAATGATCATTATTATCAACAGGGTGGTAACAATGGAATCATGCAGAAACTTTATTGGGGTAGCAAATGCTGCTTATCTACATCACGCTTACAATGTAACAGTTTATTTCGGACCTGGTTGCAATGAAGGTTAGACTTTTGAGTTCGGTTACTTTCACAGGGATTTTCAGTGTGACTTAAATGATTGCGGCAAATTGTTGAACTCTGAGAATGCACTCATGTAAAAAAAATTAGTACATGATGAGCTCTAATACTTTCATTAATATTATTCAAATGCAGTTTAAATCCAACTTTTCCCACCTGTAATACAGTTTCAACAAGTTAGAACTGTTTGCTGATTTGGTTTCCGACTCAAAAAAGTTCAATCCAAACAAATGATAAATCTTTCTGTATTACTCAGAAATGTTAGTAATTGGTCGTTTGGTGTCACTTTGGAATGTTCCGATCATCGCGCATATGTCAGGCGATGATGCACTGGCAGATAAAACGTTGTTTTCCACTCTTGGCTCCATTGCGCTGACATCAGCTACTGAAATGGCCCGTGCAACATTTACTTATCTCAAACTATACAACTGGGAAAAGGTGATGTAAAATTGAATAAACAAAACTTACATACTGATCCAAACATACCTTCGATATGCAACCTCAAAATTTACTGCAATTCCGATGTTGATTATTTTCAAGAACTCGTCAATTATTATGTGATTAGTACATGTCCAAAAGGGAATTTGGCTTTAGAAATACTTTATATGCGTTTTTTTGCTATTTAATTCCAAAAAATGACAAATTTATTTTTTACATTATTTAAAATTTCTTTGAAAATAAAACCTTATCTTGAAACGTGAAAAATACGTGACTGTTTTCAGTTTTTAAATTTTCTTACGACTTTTACCTCGATGAATTTTTTTTTTGTTTAAGATCATGAATTGATGAGAAACCAGACATATTTTGACAAATTTGAAAAAAGTTTTCAAGAATTTTGTCAATCAAAGTTATGTTTCTCTCAATCATATTTTTTAAGATTGGTGTTGTAAGGCCAACAATAAATTTTGATCGACTTTCTATCCATTCTTTGATGGATTTAGTGAAGAATACAAACGACATGACGATCAATGTTGTGATTGAAATTGATCCCTATGCATCAGCAGACGAAATTTTTGAGACCGGGAAACTTACTACACTTCGAAATTCGGCAAGAAGTACGACCATAATGTTTTGCATTTTTTGAAGTTATAAACATCAATTCGATGATTATTTGTCTTACTAATATTTGTAATAAATTAATTACAAGCAGTAACTACAGCAAACGTAGCAAATTACGTGCTAAACACTTACGTGTAAGCATTTATGAATAATTATTTTTCTGTTAATCATCACCAAAATTCTTAATACAAATTAACTAGTGCATCTTTAACGCAAATTTTTCAATTTTTGTTTTTCAGTTCTATAAAAAATTTTAGTTAAATTTGATGATTGATAATTACGGAAATTTCAAGTTATTGTGGTTGAGCTGGGTATGGATCTTAATGACTGCTCCAATTTCATGATGGCAGTTTTGAAGGCAGAGATGAACAACGCTGAATATGTTTATATATTACCTTGGCTTTCCCATGTAAGTCATATGTTAAAGTAACTTATTAAATTGTTTTTGAAATTAATTATTCTTGCAAGTCATTAAGATCAAAACTGCCATCATGAAATTGGAGCAGTCATTAAGATCTTTTATGGTATTTAAAATTTGTTTGCGCTTACTTTTTTTGGATTTTTCATTGAAACATGATCGAAATACAAAAAGATGAGCAAATTTGAAGTAACTGTGAAGAAGTTGGCAATGCTTTTACTGAAAAAATATAACATCAGGGATGAGTTGGAAATATGGCAGAAACATCTGCAATTTTTATTCACAAGATTTTAATGACGCTGCGTTTATAGATAGCTGACTACTATCCATGGGAAGTTCTGAACAGCAATAAACAACAAGTAAAGCAGGCTTATCAACATGCGATTGTGATAACAGCTCATGGATATGATAAAAAGTTTGTCCAAGACTTTGGAAACAAATTCTCCAGCGAAACCAGTCTTTTAGCTTCGCATGTATGCTTGTCAAAATTCACATTGTAAAATTGAATCTCTGTTTCAGATGCTATGCAATTTTTTAAAAAATTATGTAAAGATTAATCGAGTAGTTTCTGAGGAAACTAAAATTCATTAATTTTGAGTCAGAGAAAAAGTTAGAATTGCAATCGAAACTTTTTCGTGATGTGAAAAATGTACTGAAGTGAACTACTGCTAGATATATGGTTTGTATTCACTAATTAAATTTATTATAATATTCAATTTTAGTTTATTTTTGGATGTTTGAAAGAAAAAAAATTTTTCGACTTAAAATTCAGTTCATTTTTTAACAACTGATGTTATTACTGAAATTACTGCTACTTAAATAGCAGTAAACATTAATACTACTATAACTCTTAACTCTTATTTATAGTATGCAATGTTAGTGTACATGTCGCTCTATGATGCATTATTTTTGTATGGACTTGCCCTGCGTGATGCTTACGATGTTACTGGCAATGAGCAAATTTATAATAACGGAACTTTAATTTGGAAAAAAATGACAAATCGACAATTTTTAGGTCAACATTTAAACAATTGGTACTAAATATTTATTGAATCAAAAAATAATGGATACAACCCAAGTTTCAGGACTTGAAATTTTTTACAATCACTTTTATTTTTGCGGCATTTTTATCACAAAACAATAGTTGATATAAATAGATCTCTTTACTTTTTACTATTCTTTGTATTGAGAGATTAGCATCATGCTTCTAGAATTTGAACGGAAATTAACGAGGCACGAAATCTGTGCTAGTTGAATATTTATTAACCAGAGGAATGATTACAATTCAATTTTTATGGGCAAGACCCAATTACTAACTATTTAGGTATGACTGGTCAAGTCTTGACCAATAACGATGCATTTCGAGTGCCGAGCTATGCAACATATCAAATAACTAATGGAACTTTGACAATAGTCGTTGAATTAGAAGCGAAATTGGGGGATCCTGTTAAATGCAGTTCGAAGACTGATTGCTCATTTTATGTTTGTGTTTTTATTTTATAATGACTGCTTGTTTCAATAGAAAACTTTATAGCTGCATATTAAAAGTGGTAAATCCATGCACGTGTGGAAATGAGTAATGCAGTATGAATTTTCGAATTTAAATGCAAGATCAACAAATGATTCACAAAAGTTTTTAAATGGGCAAAACAATTTTACTCAAAACGGCTGAAACGTCTAATTTACAGTTTGATTTGTATGTGAGAAACTTAAGAGAATGGTTTGTTAAAGATTATAGTTATTTTTCTATGAAGAAAACGCTGCAGCTTTAGCTTCTCAAGCTCAAGATAACCAGAGCTCGCTGATATCTGATATAATTTCATTTCAGTTCATTATAGAAATTTTGAAAGTTTTAGAATAAATGCATCTAGAATCCAATATCGCTTGGCTATTTCTTGCATTGTTTTTTGCCGTCTGGCTATAATGGGAAACTTGTAAATGTTTTATATTTTTGAGTGAAGCGTAAGTTATCATGCTTCTGAAATCAAATATTATTGAATCAAAAAATAATGGATTCAAAACTGAAAGTTGCTTTTGTTAGGTGCCACATGAAATTCTGACTAATTATTGGTCAACAGCAAACAGTGAATTACCACTGGACATTCCACCATGTGGATATGATGGTAGTTTATGCGATAATACAGTATATATTTTGATTGGTATTGTATCACTTGCAACTGTTACTATTTTCGCTGTTGGCTATTTGTTATATGTCAAAGAGTAAGCCCATAAATTTGGTTATTTTTAATTTTTCACTTTGCAAAAATGCTAATATACATGACAGTCGTAAAGTTTTAAGTTTTCATTCAACTGAATCATATTTTGAATTTACTCGTCAGTGAATGACTTCTGATATTATGACCTAAACTGAACATCCAAAAACAGAAGAGCATTGCACTGAACGATTAGCTTTCAATGATCTCAGAATTTTTGAATGAAAGTTTGATTATAATGTAATGTGTTGTAGCTTTCGATTCTTCAAAATTCTTTGAATTTCTTAAAAGCTGCTTTCAATTTTATCAGTTGATTAGATTTAGTGCCAGAAAAATAAATGACGAGAAACCAAGTCTTCTGCTAGAAGAATCTTTCATTCCTACTTCATATTTTTGCAATCAAACAAGTAATATAAGAATTTTGAAATTTTCATGAAAAGTGCATTAAAATCAGCCACTGAATATTCAATTATTTAGACAAGAAAGACGACTTCATGACATGACTTGGCGTATTCCACGTGACTCAGTTCGAATGTTGGATTTAGCTACTGCGGTAACTAAGCTCATTTACTGCATAAATTTATTTCTCAAAAGCCTTTGTCTATTTTTTTAAAACTGTTTTGTTAGTAAAGTCAAATATTTTTAAGTGCATAGTAAATTTGTAAAAAATGTGCACAAGGGTATAAGAGAAGTTTCTTGTACAGTTAGTGCATCAAATGTCGCATAGTCTTATTTATAATTTTGGGATCGGAACGTAGGTTTAAAAGCAAGGCATTAATAAAAATCACATTTTCATTAGTTCTTTTACTGATTTGGCTGTGCAGCTTCTTCAGCTTTTTCTATCTCCTTGCACAGAATACTTTGTGAAAAATTTCGATGTCATTTTTCTTGCAGCGTTCAAGAAAATCATTGGATGGTATTTCTTTATGTAGTATGGAGTCGAAAATAAACAGTAAATTATCGGTAAAACAAGCCATCTGTAATGGTGTCAAATTATCAGTGCGCCGATTTGCCCAGACGCGAAATATTACATTTATGAAAAGTGAATTACAAATTCTAAAACAAGTGCGAATAATTTTCTACAATTATTTGAATCTAAAAACCTTCAATATCAGTAGTTTTCTACCTTGTAATTACTTGCTAACCAACATCATGATTCATTTTCCGATTTTTTGTGCTAATCCATTTTTGATTTCAAATTGTCAAAAAATTTAGTTTTTGCCATAAAAAAATTTGAAGTAAACCAATTTCTTAAAATTTCTTTATTTTCAGCTGAAAATGGTAGAAAACGAAAACTTGAATAAGTTTTATGGCATTTGTTTTAATCAAAAAAATGAATTATTAATTCTCTGGGTACTTGTGACCAGAGGAAGTCTCGAGGTAATTGCATTTTCAAAATTTCAGAAGAAATTTCAGTCTAATTTTTAATTTAAAAGTGTAAACAGCTTTTTGTACAGTTAAACTTCTTATTTAAAGTTTGCTTAAATTCAGGATGTCATTTTCAATGAAGATATGAAACTAGGGAGAAATTTTCAAGTTTCATTTGCCAAGGATGTTGTAAAGGTATTTTTGTGAAATAATGGTATTAATTTTGTTAATTTTGCCAAAATAGCACCGAAATGACACTTGATTTTCGTTGTCTTGGCTACTAGCACAATTAATGTCATTGCAAAAGCATATAAAAGTTTAGTTAGAAATGAAAAAATTTAATCAAAAACAAATAATTTCCATAAATATTCGTTTATTAGATTAATTATTGAAGTCGATTTTTAACATTTCAAGAAAGAAATCTTTTTAGGGAATATATTTTTTGCATAATTCCCCGCTTCAATATCATGGTTTATTATGCTTACAAAACTGTTTGGTCGATTCTAACTGGACAATTAAACTGTCTGATTTCTGTACAGAAATAATCATTGCTGACAAACTTTTGCATAATGAGATTAAAAAAATTCATGTTGAAAAGGATGAAAACGATGAAACTCACAATATAAGTCGAAGTAATAGTGATGATACTTTCATATTCTTATCTTTAATTTGTTTTAACAGTGAGAATAACTCTTATTTCAAAAAACAAAAAAGTTGAAATTCATTCCTAAAATAGTTTTCTCAAATGTGCAATTTAGATAAGCTTTCACTGGCTCAGTTTGAAAGCGAAAAAATAAAGGCAAATTTTGGGATGAAGTTAGGCATGATTTAAAAAGGTAATGCTGAGGTTGGAGGTAGGTCAGATTCGATTAACAAATTCCAGCTATTTCCCGGTCATTCGTTTTTGCAGAATATATCCAGCAAGCACCAGAAATTTTGCGCTCTTTGCTGCAAACAAACTTTCTACCTCACGGTTCCCAAGCAGCGGATATGTATGCCCTTGGTATGGTATTGTATCAGATTCTCTTTCGAATGGAACCATTTAGTAATTTCTCACTTCCAAAGAAAAGTGAGCCTTTTTCATAATTCATTCGAAATAAGTCATTTATTAATTCTAGGAGATGTTAAATTGCACAACATTTTACTATAACTTTTGTTTAGAGGTAAGTCAAACTCTATTCCCGTTACTAGTGCATTTAATTATACGTCAAAATGGCTGCAAGTAAGCAGAAGAGTTCTGAGCAATCTTTTTTTTCCATGGATTATGATGATAGGTCTATTATTTCTTCTATTTGTGCACAAATTTATAACTTGAAAGTTATTATTCATGCTTGGTGAGTAAGGACAGTCCTGATAAATGAAGCATACAAAAGTTGAATGATGAGCTCATTTTTAGATTCATGTAAACCAATCTCAAAAAACCTCTGAAAACAATAATAGCCGATCCTTTTTCAGTTTATGCATCGTTAAATTCAGTAATTGCTAATTCAATAGCAAATAATAAAAACATAGATCAGCTCGTGATTTCAGAATTGCTTCTCTGACTTCGTCTTTTTGATAAAAAAACTTTTTAAAAGTGGAAGCGCAACTCGTCAAAGAGTTTGCTTCAGACGATCACTATATTCTCGACGAAAATAACGAATAATCAGCTTGCTTTTGTAACAGTAATCATCATATCAAACTCGAATTACATTCTGTACTTTGTCAGTATCAGAATAAATCCTCTTCTTTTTGATAAATTTCTTAACAAATTTAAAACATTTTTTTAGAATTATTGCACAAATTAGCAAATGGAGTTGAAGAGGATTACATTCGACCTGCTTTTCCGTCAGCTGGCCACGATCCGGGATTCAGTCTTCAGCTTCTGAAAACAATTGAAGTAATTTGATTCCTCTTTTGATTAAAAAAATGCAAAACCATAGTGAATCTCTGCCTCGAATTTCTTAGCGAGAATGTCTTACTTCCGCCTGCAGTCAACCGGTTATTGATGCCAAACTCTATCAAAAGTGCTTCCGAAATGAGCAATTGATTTGCCCTTATCCTAAACGTTGTTTTTACTTGCGTTTCGACTCTAATGTCTACGTTCTCATTAGCGACGATTTGCTGTTCACAATGGTTTCGCATGTGCGGGAATGCTTTCAGACCATTACTTCTTACACAGTCCTAAATGAATAGATCTCAGGAGCTCATTGTGTCTTCTAGTATAGTCGTGATATAATATTTTCCCGCACTGCTTGCTAGATGATTCACCGTCTTCACACGTTCCCTACAATTTTGGCACATACCTTTCTCAGCTCCAAACATATTTCTTCTGTTTTGAGGTAACAGTATCACGGTTTATCTTGTAAGCTAATTTCTCCAATCGCAGCCATATTAACGAATCAGCTATAAACGAGATTTCAATACTTCACATCTTATAAAGTTTTTTATTTGTAGGTAAAAATTATTCATTAATTAATAATAGTATTAATTAATGAGAATTTATGCAACTATCACTACCGTTAAATTGTTTGGAACCTTTTGTACTCCTCACATATTGATCCAAAAACTAGAAATTATGGCATCAATTGTGGGGATTAATTCAGTACTCGTTAATTTTGATTATACTGAAGCGCAAAAGTGTAAATGAAGCATCTATCTGAGACCTTTCTTTAGATCTTTTAATATGAAAACGCAAGAGTTATTGTTTTTACGATTTGTACTAAGTTTGATGACAATCAATAATATTATTCGGTAATTACTAATGGTAACTTAAAATTACGATGACAATTGACTTGATAATTATAAACTGTATAAATGCCGGTAATTGCATGTTTCCAGGAATATGACTGTGAATTTTAGTAATAGGACTGACTACTTTTAAATTATTAAATTAATTAATAATAAACCATATTGTTATGAAGAATGATTATAATTATAATTATTATTGTTATTGTTACTATTATAATGATTATTAATTATTAATTATAATATAATAATAATAATTAGTATTATTTCTATTTATTATTATTATTATTATTATTATTAATACTAAAACTAATACTATTATTATACTATTAATATAAAGAAAATGTCTCGTATGGGTGGGGGTATACATCTATACTTTCTGGAAATTGTGGAATATTGTGGATGTGGAATATCCTCGGCTTTGTCGAGGAGCTGACCAAATTGAGCCTAAGAAATTTCACATGGAGTGTAAAAGGAAAAATGTCCACATCTGGAATCATAAATAAAAACAAAGGAAAAACAAATACGTTTGCAAAAAGCTCTGTGAAAGGTGTTAGAGAGCACTTTGCCAGTCAGGTGCCAGCAGAATGATCACGCTTGAAGCACTCATCCATCGAATGAAATACCGCGAAGCAGGTGACCAGAAGACCAAGAGAGGTGCTGAAAGCAATCCTTGAAAGATTTGGAAAAATACCGAGAGGGTAATGGCCATAGTGCCGTTCTCTGTACAGCTCAGACTATTCATGTGCCATTACTCTCGAAGAAATGAAGAAGCAAGCGAATTCTGTGATCACCAGTATTGGTGATCCGTGCTCACAGAAACGTTTCTTGGAGGAGTCAAGGAAACGTGTTAAGGCATAAGATAAGTAGTTCGAGCAAAACACGCTGCACGAGTCCAAGATTTATCTAGATGCAAAGGGGAAATACCTAGTGCTGATGCAAGAAGCACAGGGGCGTGAGATAAACCAGACAAAGTGAGCGCGGAAATTAACATCGGAGAGCATCGACCCACTTAACCTCTGAGCAGTGAACCAGACGACGGCTAGTGAATATGCTACACGGAATCCTTCCAAATCAATGATCGATATTGCAAGACAGCCCTAGGTAGTACAACAACGTTATGAAGACGACAAAGTGAGAGAAAAAGCCATTGGGGTGACCCAAATAAACTGTTAGTTGCTGGTTACAATAAACAAATATTAAATAAGCACTTAGTACAGTAGTACAAAATTAGATTAACAATAATGTTCATTTTTGGAACAGTTAAAATTATAATAGCATCATTTTTAGGCTTGTTGGCTGGAAACACCTGGAATGAGACCAAATATTAAAAAAGTTAGAGGGGTTGTTAATGCGAGCTTAAAATCGACGTAAGTCATTTTTTACTTTGTGCATAATAAATTTTACACTCTTACTATAATCGAAATAATTATTACTTTATTTGCTTTCGATCAAAATGCTCAAACACATGCTTCTGACGAGGCTGGTAATCCCTTAGAAGATGTTTGGAGCATATCTATTGCTATAAATAGCCCACATTACTTTAAGTAATCTAACAAAATTTAACAGCTCGTGAACAATCTGTTTACTAACTGGCTTGCTTAGTGTTAGTAAGCATTTTGTATAAAAAAGTCTTGCGTTCTCTAGCGCAATTTTAAGCTTACGTATATGTGATTTAAATTTTGCAAGGTAGAAATCCAAAGATCAATTGAAAATTTGCTTGAGCACATTATTATAGGTAATCGAAGTCAAATTTCTCACACTTTTCTTAAGCAAAAATTATGTAGACAACAGAACTTGAGCGAATACTACTGAATCATATATTGATAATTTAAACGATAACATGAAAATGTGCTCTATTTCAGAGGAAACGGATCACTAATAGATCAGATGATGGAAATGATGAATGATGTCGGGCATACTTTTTTAATCATTTCTTGAATGACTAATGAATTTTGTAATGAAATGCATAATCGAAGTGTTTACCGTTTGGACAAAAATTAGCTTCAGTTGCATTTATTAGCAAAGTGTGCATGAACTGACATGCATAAACTGTCACGTTAATAAAGAAATAGATTTTGAAAAAGTGTTTCAGTATACAATGAATTTGGAGGTGATGGTGAAAGACCGAACTGCCATGCTTGAAGAAGCACAACAGCAAGCTGATCGTTTGCTTTACAACATGCTACCCAGGTTGACCTTTCGGCCCATTATATTTTTTTCCAATTTAAAGTACTTATTTCTTATGAGTATCTTGATATAACAATTTTCAATTCAGCAAATTCCATTTATTTTCAAGTTTTTATAGAAACATGCGACTACTTGTGACAAAAATTATTCAAAGAAGATATCTTAAGTAAAGGCATATTTCTGTAGTAGCATTATTCAGAAATGACAGTTCGGTACATGGGTACTGAAATCTAAAGTGAAACCACACCTTATAATAATTATTAATTTGACCTAACATTAGAAGTTAGCAGCAACAGTTGCCATAATATACCAAAAATTATAGCTCCTACTGCGTTCTTGTATCATTTTCAAACATCTTAATCAAATTGTGACGAAATATATATTGCTAATTAATCAAATTCTCGGACTATTCATTATAAGTCATTAGCTGCAGTCTGCAAATTTTATTCACTTAAATCAAGTATGGAGGACGTAGATTTAAAACTATAAATTATTTAAAGATCAGTGGCGAACGATCTGAAGGTAGGTAAACATGTACAGCCACAGTTGTATCCGTGTGCAACAGTACTTTTTTCGGATATTCAAGGTTTCACGCGACTTTCATCATTTTCCACGCCACTTCAAATCGTTCAATTTCTCAATGATCTCTTTACCGGTTTTGATGATATTATCTCAAAGCACGATGCATACAAAGTTCTAATTTTCAGTTGAAAAAACTGCAGACATATAAAAAACTACATATGTAAACAATATTAATCATCAATTTTCACTATTATTTTCAAATTATTCAACAAAATAGCCAATTACTAAGTAACAAAATATTCGGAAAATATAGAGCTGGTGCCATCAAATATTATTTGGTAATGATAGTAATGCTTAGTAAAATAAGTTACTGCAAAGGTTGAAACAATTGGTGACGCTTACATGATCGTTTCTGGAGTGCCGAAAAAAAACGGCAATGCCCACGTGGAAAATATTGGTGATATAGCACTAAAAATGCGATCCGTTAGTTTATTCTCACCGTTGAAATCTTTCCAAACAGTTATATAATTCTTAACTCTTCTGACTTCAACTTGTGGGCACGTTGATAAAATTAAATTTTTCTCTTCCACAGTTTGTTGTTAAATTCAAACTGGCTCATCGACCCGAAGAAAAATTAATAGTTCGAATCGGTTTCCATTCTGGACCTGTAGCCGCAGGCGTCGTTGGTTTGGCTGCCCCGCGATACTGCTTGTTTGGTGATACTGTGAATACCGCGTCGAGAATGGAAAGTACCGGGGAACCTAATAAAATACAGGCTCTTTTAACTCTGAATCTTAGTCCTTATCGAATAAAACTCACATTAATTGGATATTACGAGTTTAAAAATTTGTTCTTGAAAGTCTGTCTAAATCAAAAATGCGATAATTCTATGAGCAACTAACATTTGATGGCTTTCTATAGATCTGCGAATATTAATAAGATCATACATTCTAGATCAGTGAGCAATCCTACAATCTTCTTCATTGTTTCTTCCCACAATTTGAAATTGTTGAACGCGGGAAAATAAACGTGAAGGTCTTCTACAACTTATTTCCTATTTCATACCTTTCAACGAAATAACTGATAAAGCTTCTGGAAGATATTTGATCAGAATATTGTATTATTATGTATGACTATAGTACAGATTTTAGAAAGAATGAGTATATCAGTTAAAAGTTTGGAGAAAGTTTTTAGATTTAATATATTAACTTTACGAAATATACGCTCATTGTTTCAGGGTAAAGGAGAATGCATCACATATTTCTTGGAAGGAAAAGAAGGAGTGACTTACTAAGTCTGTGACTTAAAAGCTTATCGACCATTTTTTACTACTCATGTATTATACATGGATAAGAAAAATAATGACCAAATACAGATAACAGGCATTTTCAAGAATATGACTCTAAGTGATTTACAGATAAAACGTTAAAAAAATTGAGACAAATTCCTCACAATCAAAGCAGAACTATGCACACTACGCCAAATTGAAAGTAGTATCAGGAGAAAAGTAGATGTCTAGTCTTGAGATGCTGGAAAGTCAACTGTTAATAAAATAATGGCTCAGTGTTAGTGCTATCACGTGATGCCATATCAGTAAATTATGACTCTTTAAGAATAAAAATAAATTGTTTATTGATAGCTTTATGATGACTTGTGTTACATTGCTCAACACCAAATCTTTATTATTATTCAGAAAACTCTCGAGACTTAAACGAACTATTCTGGACATTCCAAATTTCAAAAAAAAGTAAAATGCAAACGATAAAAAAGAAATATCAAATATACAATATACATACGATGCCTTATCGCTCCCAGTTCTGGTGAGAACAAACATGGAATGATTCGGTTGGTGCTGAGACACTTCAGTGGAATAAGATACAATTAAGTAAATCAAGATTCTCATGGCACTTATTGAAATATACCAAATATTTATTATGTGCCCAGGAAATACCAAAACTGACCGGCATATAAAAGTTAATTAACATGACAGAACTATTAAAAAAATGGGTTACTATTGACAATCGAGAAAACCGAAAAGTGTGTGGAAATCTGTAAACACTCTTGAAATTCTCTGTACAACATTTTATATTTTGTAATTTAAACATAGCTGAGTTTTTATAATTCAAGCCTCTATTTATTATTGGAAGTATCATAATTGCTTTATAAAGACTTTTTCGACTTCTAAAAAAGTAAATTAGGAAGAGTTAAGAGAGTCTCAATTGCTCACTAGGACAATAACTGAAACCAAAATTTTCAATTATTGACATTGAGAGGCAGTACGTTTACGATTTACCCTGCGTTTCTCAGCGGATACTATAGTGAAATCACCCATTTCTGATGGCTTAATTAAACCATCATCATCTTTGCGTTGCAAAAGCTCCAAATTCTAAAAATCTGATGCTGATGTAAACTACATGCGAAAAATGTTAAAAAATGTGGAGGGTTATTAAGCAGCCAGTAAAGAGTGAAATAAAAATGAAAAGTTTGAAAAAAGAGAATTTCTTATAATTCCTGAGACATCCTAATAAAAAGATAGTAATGAAAGATACGAGTGTAATTGTATCTCTAATCTGTTACTTCAAAACATTTTTTTTTAAATGAATGCAAACTTTTCTATCACCTGAAATTTGTTACTTTAGCCAAAAAATCAAACAATACTATACTAACATTTTCATTGCAAAGATGCAATAATACTGAGAATGCATTGATGGGGCTGAGATCATCAGCTGTACGCCCTGCTAAATATGAAGGAAGCTGCACTAATACTGAAGAAAATGTGTGTCGTCCACATAATTTAAAATCTCTCACGATTTCCTCAACATGCTGCATTCCATAACCTGGATTGTCATTCATTTTCTGAAAGTAGAAATCAATGTAGTCTTAATAAACAGCATACTTCAAGTACTTATATCCAGAAACCATTATAAAAATCAGCTTTGTCAAATGATCATAAAAAATTGAGATCGCACTCATTAATTAAATAAATATTCACAGTGAAAAGCAAAAATATAAAACTAAATTTCAGACAATAGATAATTCGAATACGGCCAAAATCCTATAATCCTCGACATTAGCAGCATCACAAAAGCAAAGTACAAGAAAGTTTCTAACCTCCACTTCATCCAAATGCAACTGATCTTTTTCTCCCTTTAGTTCCATATGATTATCTTCATTATTCACAAACAAGGAATTTGAATTACTGTCCTCTCCTACTATATTCAAACCATTCATGCCTTCCAAAACACTGGCCCCTTGTTCTCGAGCGATTATTATTTCTGCATTTAGCGCATCAGCATCAAGCTTAAAGATAATTCCAATTATGATGAAACATAACTGAAACAATGAACGACCATTTTCCCATAAAGTACCACATTAAGAAACATACTTTTGCATTTGATAAAATGTTACCAATCGCTCGTTTTACAGCAGGTGCGTTGATGCGTCGTTGTCTCACGGAATACTTTACACCAAAAATCTTCAAATGATATAAATTATTTCGCACAACAGATGAAAAAATAACAAACATCTCTTAGATTTCTGAAGCATGATTTAAATTATTTTCTAGCTGTGTAAACCAATCAAGTGACGAAACCGAATAAAAGCTCAAACCTTGTCCTGCACTTTCTTCTATTTTCTCTGCCTAATCTAATGCATCAATGTAATCATTTCACATAGATTTGTGCTTAGAATCTGAATGTAATAAGGAGATAAAATAATATTACAAATATAAAATAAGAATAAAAGTGCACCTCCGCTTCTTCAGCTCCAGAATCAGCTTCAGACAAAAAGTTTGGAGCAGATTTTATTAGAGACATATCATTCACGGGTTCCAGAATCTGCAAAAGTTTGTTTAAAAAAAAGTATTATGAGTAAAACTTATTGTCAACTTCAATTAAAAAGAATAGTCTGTTGTTTTGTTGAATTACATAATACAACCAAAATATATGTTTTAGTTGAGCTATTATAGCTCATTATAGAAAAAAGTAAACAAATAAGATTTGTAACAAATTAAACCAGGCATAAGGGGAAACCTACCAGATGAGCTGACAGAGAGACCTATCACAGTTCTCAATAGATTTAAAACAATAATAAGAAGTACATTAAGCATTTTACGAAAATCGCAAGTCATACAGTAGAAAAATAAAAACAGAAAACTTAAACAAAAATACATCTTCGAAATAATTACTAAGATGTAAAATGTTTTTCCAAAAAGGAATTATAAATCAATTTCTTTAAAAAGTAAATTACGCAAGTTGAGCAGCGATAAAATATCATATTCCTTACAGTCTCGCAATCATCGTTATCGTGAGTGCCAATATCGCTAAATAAATCGTCATCAGTATGTGCGTCTAGTGCATCGCTACCACAAGGGACAGACATTGACTGCTGGTCAGAGCATGAATCATCGAAATAATTGTTGAAGTGTAAGAGATGATTTTTAATCCTGTAAATCTTTCCACGGAATCAAAAGTTTGTAATTAATATATCCAGAAATTTTTGTCAAATAAAAACAAACGCTTCTTCTGGATCCAAATCTTCATGAATGCTCTGCCGTAATATTTTTGCCATTTTTTCCTCTTTAGCATTATCAGGAGCTAATGAAACACGATCAAAATGAACTTTATCCCAATCTCCCTATAACAACTTCCATTGTCATTCAGAAATTCCCCATGTCCTTATTATGAAAACGTGGTGAAGATCGTATTTTTTTCTAATAAAATAAATACCGAGAAAACATGCGCCAGATGACAGAACTGTTCAGCTTTATATAAAAGGTCAGCAGGAACTCGTGTACGGCGAATCTTTAAGATTTCATCTTCTTGTTTGACAAGTACTGTAGTACGTTTCGCTTGCTTCTGCCTATCTCGAATGACAGCAAGAGGCATACTATCAAAATCACCAATTTCGAACGGATTTTTTTCTTCTTTTTTAGCCTTAATCACATTGTATTTGATGAATTTTAGTAAAAATACCTATATACATGGACTTTACGTGAAGGAAATTGGATTTATATTTGGACAAAAATCTACCAATTTGGAAGTTGTAGAATTTTAGAACTTCAAACCATCCATCATGCTCTAAGTGAAAAAGATAAGTATAAATTTTTTGTGCCCGTAACTAATATTTTGTGCTCATATTCAAGATAAGCCTTTGGAATAATGCCAATGCAATGTTCAAAGATAGAGCCGAAATACGACTAAAGGACATACTGCAGTGAATGTTTGAGAATTCCTGATTTTCTGCTTTTTTTCATGGAAAGAGGAAAATAACGTACTTTCTTCCGTTCTACTTTCTCCACTTTTCCCGCTGTTCTCTCCTTTGGAATGATAACTTCTTCTATAATTAATTTTTTGCCACATTAAAGGAATTCCAAAGCAGGATCTAATTAAGATAAATTAATAAAGATAAAAAATGAACAATAATTAAATAAAAATCATTTTTAAAAATGCCAACCTCCTCTGTCCAGCTTTCGTCTTTTCCAGTGTGCCTCATCATTTACAATAGAATATGCCATATTTGCGACTCGTTTTTCGTCAACGTAATGCAAGTCTCCATAAGTTGAATGGGCATCTGTACGCTCGCCTTTCAAAACGTTTTCAGCATGTACACCTTCTAATTTCTCCGCCCAATCCTGAAGAATTCAAGCCTCAATTCATAATCTGCTTTCAAACAACGTCCCAAAACCTAATTAAACAAGAACATATACTAAACCTGTTTCGAAACTATTGACTGGTCATCATCGGTGACTGGCTGCGCACCTACTGAATGTGATAATGCAACTTCTGCATCTATTTCAAGTTCATTATCAAAACTTGTATTGAAACCGCCTACATCTAGTACGCAATCATTATCCTCTATACGACTTGGATTTTTCGCATTGTTAGCCGATTCACACACTACTGACCTTGAATGCTCATTGGGAATAGAATTCTCGCATTCCACAAGAGCTTGTTGCTCCATTCTTTTAAATCTGAGTGATGGGGAAAAATCACAATCTGAGATAACGGCTAAAATAACTTCATAATCTGTCCTTTTCTCATACCATAAGAATAAAGCTTTTTAGACAAGTCAACTTATAAGATGAAAATAATAAAAGTTATGTGTTCCGTTTTGTTGCTACATTCTACATTATTCTTGTTAGGTAAGCAATAAATGAAATATTTCAAAATATACTGTGTTGCTATAGGAATCTGAGCAATTTTTCTCCCAAATTCATCGCCTTTCTTCTTGAAGAGACTTTCCCCCCGACCAATACGAAATGCATCTAGTACTCCAGCCAAAGCTTTTTGATCATCATTTGCTATTCTACTATCATTTCGTGGGACTTCAATAGCAATTATGCTGCGGAACACAGGTAAGTTACCAAGAATATTATCAGTCTAAAAACGAATTTCTGAAATAATGAATAACACAAAATTCTGACTAACATGCTATATTTTTAAGAATAAATAACAGGTAAGTAAATTAATGAAAATAAACTTCAGCAAACAGCTGTTCGGCTGATCGAGCGAAAAAGTAATTGAATTCTGGATTTTCTCCAGGTAATGCTTTCAAAACTTGCGATCGTTTTTCATTTTCCATTTCAACCCATCTTTAAAACATTAAAAATATTGATAACGTTGATTTATGAGCTAAAATCATGACATACAAAAAATATCTTTCCTTTAACTTCTCCTTTATCAAATCACGACAAATTTTTAGTTAACATAGTTTTTCAAATCTCCCATGATCATTTGGCAAATAAGTAAACGAATATCTTACCTCATGCGGTACACTTTCCAACACATAGACTCTTCGAAAGGTTCTAAATCGTCTGCTATTGGTGCATACGTCAAGCCACTTTTTGAGTCTGCAATTCTGCTGATATATGATTTCCTGACCGGAATCAGAGATTGCCTAATAAAACTATGCCGAATGAAAGGATCCAAATCTCGTAAAGAATGAGCCTGAAATTGACCGATTTGAGTAAATATAGTGGCATCATTAAATATAATATGTAGGATATAAATAACATGACATTTGAAAGGTCAGAGAGTAAAATATTGAAATCTAATGGCTCACCACTTTTATCATATTAGAAGAATAAATTTTATAAAACCGACCAATAAAGCAATGAACTGTCCAGAATCCATGCCAAGCTTCTTTTGCAAATGCTTCCTCCACCGAAATAATTCCTCACTACCACTTTCGAGAAGTGCTTCGTTCAGAACAGTTTCCACAACTTTTTGAATAGATTGCATATTACTAGAAGCAGTTACCGCTGCGTCCATAAAAGTTGTTTCTTGACTAGTAGTTGCATTCTATAAACCTACTCGATTACCGATTTGCCAAGCAATAACTGGTATCAAACATTTTAGTAAGAATTCACGTAAGACAAAAAATATATACCCGACATATATGTTCTTCGCGTAGACTACTAGTTACACTGGAATTAGGAATATTCAATGGTGCGAGTCTCTCAGCATCTTCAATACCACCTGAAAAAAACGAGAACATCACAAACAATAATTTGCGTATTTCCTGCTTTTGCGAAATGATGTTATATAAAGTAATATAATCTAATAAAGATGGAGTTTCTTTAATATTTTCTGATTTTATAGATCTCCAAAACATAATACAATGAATGCATGCAATTGAAATATGTACAAATCCGTACTTACAAGAGAGCACTGAGATTTTTAAAAAAAGAAGAAACTAATATGAGAAATGGTCCCTGCATTTTGATAAAATAATTTGAAAATTGAGACGAAATTTAAGAATGTAAAACGAACTCCAAATTTCGTGTAAATTTTCCCCCTCAATTTTTTCATTCCATATATTTCGAGTGCATCGACAACTATTGTGCAACATGTAATGACGACCGCATCTGCTCGTAATGGCATTTTGCATCAAAAGGCCGCTAGATGATCCTTCATCAAAATTGTGAGTTGCTTTATTATACAAATGACTACAAAACTCGGCACCTGTTTCAGTATCATTTAGTTCGGATGGATCATATACAACCATCGATATCTAAAATCACGTTTCAATAACAAAAAATCGTTACAGTGAAAACACACTTTTTTTTTCATTACTCAAACAAGAAAACAAATCTGCAGATTTTCAAAGTTTTATAGTTCATAATAATAAACTATTTTTAACATTACTTGCAATGCAGAAAATATTTTCAACAGTAGAAAAGTTAATGGGAGTCACTGCTAAATATGATGTAAAATTTCAATTCCTGACATCAGATGATATTAATAATGCTGAAAACGAGCAAATATGAACATTTACACAAATTAATTTCCAGTGCGGTCTGTTTCCAACTTATATCACACATGTAAAAGATCATTTAGTAAGCAGAATTGGAGAATTTGTCTTTATCAATAAGCTTTTCACTTATCATCTTATAGACATATTAGTGCAACATTTCAGTGCCATTTAAATGATCTTTAATAAATAAAACTAGGAATACCTTCCAAATGAAACCAAAAAATTTAGTAATCAGGATGTGATTACTTTAAAAATACTGCTCAGAAAGCAAAAAAAATTCTCAGAAAATTTGAAATCCACTTCGAGTCAAACAAACCACTCTATGCATTCAACAGAAGCCAATCGGTACAGTTTTGGAATTTATTACTTCCAGTCAACATACAGAAATATGTTTCACGCTCAGTACGGGATGTATTTCGAACAGCAATTGAAAACAAATTTATCATTAAATTAAATTACCTTCGATCGTCTGTTGATACAGCTTTCATGAGATTTATCATATTTTTCTTTAAATTTTTTCAGTATTTCAGTTCGTTCCCACACCATATTTTCATCTTCTGTCCCGGAAGCTACATCATCAAAATAAACTGGAAGATCCTCAGCATCATAGATATCAGTTTTTTCTAATTCACCCTCCAAATCAATGTCTGAATCGCTTCCTTCATCAATTCCTTTTTTCTTCTTTGTTTTATCTTTACTACTCTAAAATCAAGCCAATTATATGCTTCTAAAACTAAGAAAACAAGAGTTTCTCCTTAGTATAGGAACTTTCGAATTATCAAAGAATTAGAACAAACATAACTTCCTATACAGAAATAACTCCCTTACATAAAAACCTGACAACAGAAATAAGCAATAATTAGGGGATATAATTGTCGTGGATAAAAACAAAATCTTGAAAATAATAATACTTTCTTCTCAGCTTCATCATCATCTGAATTCATTTTTCCATTACCATCATCATCTGCTCCATCACTTGAATCTTTTTTATTCTCACTTAGAGAGCCTAAAATATATGATTTCTAAAGAGTTTTTCCAATAGCAATGAAGTTTTTAGAATATCTTATTTCACGAAGGAATTTCTTCTTTAGCAATGAGAAAAAATGCTAAAGAAAGTTCAAAACTTACTTTTACCTAACTTGGCACGAACATCATATGCTTCTGAATGAGTAGCATCAACTCGAAAAGAATATATTCGAGCACTTGCATCAAGTAATGACCCTGCTTGCTAAAATATTTTTAGACCTTTAAATTCAGTTAGAAACTTTGTTTTGTCGTACAAATAGATGCATGTTTTTAGTTAAATTTCAAGCATAAATTGAAATTTAATGAAACACTGAGCGTTTCATATCAATTAAAATCACTTGTAATGGTTCCTTTTCTACAACCATCGGTAACCTATCAATAAGGTCTTCTTGAAACGCACGTGCCGCCAACTGCTTAGCTTTTGTCACAGCAATTTTCATAGCTTCTAATACACGTTCATTTTTTGCAGGATTCTCTGAAATTTCAATAGAGCACTTCAAAATTTAGTTCAGTAAATATGTACCAAGAAATTTAAAAAGTATTTTGGTACTTCTGGAGCTGAAAACTGTATTAGGATTCCGAACTTTCTCTCGCAATTACTGATAGATACAAACCAATTTTTACTAATCCAAACCTTTCTCATTAGCTCGTGCATTCATGTCCATTAAAATTTTCTGCCGTTCTTCATCTTCATCTTTTTGGGTGCGTAACACAGCTGAAACGCGACGCGAGCTGTGTCGTTTTTTTGCATCATCTTTTTCCAATGCATCAAATGTTCTATCAATCTTCAAGAAAAAGGTTATTCATGCAAAATCCTATAGATTTTGATTGATGAGATTAAAATGTGTTTAATTTCCATACCGTAAAACGCATTACTTTTACCACTAATGCTTCATTAGTAGAAGTACGAAGCAAACAAAATTTACCTCACTGTCAAGATCATCTTCATCAAGATTTGGCTTACGCGTTCGTCGTCGTGGCATTTCTTACTACTTGCGACTGATGACAATTAATACATCAAAATCTAGAAAAAATATATTTAAAGATTTCTCCACCTCTATTTGTTCTGCAAAAAATTACAAATGTAAGGAAAACACCCTTGTTTCTATTTGAGTGCAGATAAAGAACAAGGTGACTAGAAACACGAAATTAACAACATAGAATCAGCTGTAGAATCAGGAAGTATATATCTTGTATTGTTCGCCTTTCTTACAAACGAAAGAGAGAAAAATGCACTATAGCGACTCTTCACAAAAAAATTCGAAATTATAACTATTCCATTCACTACCAAAACATCTCTTTAAAGACAAATCCACCCTGCATGCACTTTTTCTCGTTTTCTGCTCAACAATCTATTAAGGCAAAAAACTACCAAGTTTCGTTGCCGGAACAACGAAACCAAATTCTGCTACCACAAAAGTTTTTTTTCCCAGTAGTCAATGAGCATCCCAAATCACCCGAAACTTCTCTTCCCTGAACCGTTAAAGCGATAATCCCGAACTAACAACAGTATGCAATACTTTTTGAAGCATCGAAATTAGTTATGAATGTAACCTTTCACCACCAAATCGAATTAAATGTGTTCCATTTTCAGACTTTTTCTCAGCCAAGCCTCAGTAAAAAGAACAATTCCTTCACATTCCGTCCTAGAATGAAAAATAGTTTCGCGTAAAGCCCAAACGTCAGTCCATTTAATATATCTGTTTCTGCCTGCTTTCATCAAAGTTATTAAATCAAAACACCATTTTAATCGCTGGCACAGAAAAAATGAAGTTGTTGATGTGGGGAATACTTTTCGCTTCATCTATATGAAACACTGTTATAGGTCAGACTTCACATTCATTCTCTTTCAGCGATTGTTAGTACCCCCTTATTGATTTCCCCAGTTCATTGGGAAAAGTGATTTTGTAGGACCCGAAATGCAAAAATTCATCTCAATGCACCTTGCCATTACAATGCACTGCAGAATGTTTTTAGAAAGTTTGTAAGGTATGTTTGATTCATTTTAATTATGCGCTAAACATTTTTTTCGTTTGCTTCATACACTGACAGTAATTTAACAGTACTGAAGGTTATAGACCAATAAGACTAACTCCAGTTTTTACCTTTCATATATCGACGGCTTGCAATAATTTTTCACGTCTACTTTGCATATTCTCTATAAACGTGATGAGTCTAAAAATACAACGCCATTGATGCAACACTGGCAGAGGTTGAAAAAGTGTACGAAAGACTGTATGAAGTAGTATTAGCAGAGACTGAGTGTGGACAGTTGGGCAGTAGAGTACTGCAGTTCAAAAAAGGTAGAAATTGGTGAGATGAATACGAGATTTAAAAGCAAAAAATTAAAAGAGAAGAATTAAAATGAGGAATTCAAAACAAATGTAGCCTTCTTAATTATTCCTTCTTCAGATGGTTTATCTTATTCTTAAGTCAGTTGCATAACCGTATTCTACGCTACTTACGTGTTTAACGGTTGTTAAACCTATTTAAATCATATCGGGTATCACATGTACGACATGTGCAGATTTCATTGATTTCAATGTCTTGTTTTGGTCACTGACCACGCAGCTTTTATTTTAATGACGGATGCTAATAGCATAAATATTTTGACTGCTTGGTCGTCATGTCAACTAATTATTCTTGTTTTTACGTATTGATCATAACTTTCCACGTGTCATTTCTGAAGCCAAATACTAGCTATACTGATTGGTGCTTGATGTTCTACGTGGTCTTCGAAAAATATAGCGATATATACAGCACATGTACAGCAACTGCATCATTATTGATGCAATATTTGTACGCTTTTTACTATTTGTCACTCTCTACGTCCTCTAAGCCTTTCAAAATTTGTGTAAATTGTGACTTCGTGCTATTTCTATGCTACATTTCAAGTACATACTCAGTGGTCTTTCAGATCTTAACTGAAGAAAGGACTATGTATTTGATATTTCTTCATTTGGTTGGTGCATCTTTTGCTTGGAAAACTGTAGATGATTCAGTTTTATACAGGTTAATGGTTTGTAGCCAATCAAATTAAGATCAAGTTTGCTAAGCTTAATGAAGATCAAATGGTGGCGTTCATTTGAATGAGTGCTTCTGTCTATATATATATATATATATATATAT